TGAATATTAAGAAATTACATATAATTCAGTCAAAATTTCAAGAAATATTTGATTTTTGAATTAAATTCATGTTTTATAGTTGATTTTTATTCATGTTTATATCATTTTCTTCAATTGATATGTGATACTGGGTGTTTTTTTCCTACAAACCTCTTGTAGATAGCCATTAAGCACCTACTTGATGACAGGCTCTACCAAAAGATGTTGCTCGTTTCCAAACATTCGTTCATTTACTTGCCGTTCATCAGAACCATTATGGCACCTTAGATTGATATTCCCACAAAACCATTCAGGTTTTTTGATATCCATAAAGTTGAATATTTTTCGTTGTTCATGAACTGAACAAACATCCACACTATACCCATTTACAGTGATTAAGAAATTCACAAATATATGCCTTAAAGCTACCAGCAAACCTATAAAACCTGCAAAAAAAAACTACAAATTTGCCATACTTTTCTTTTTACATGAGTACACATTCTAGGTTATATTTATATTAGACATTATTTGAATACAACTGATTATTGCATTTCAAGGAGTGACACATGTGTGGGATCTGTCAACTCTTGGTACCAGTCACAAAACATACTCTGGAGGTTTAATTCCATGCTATTCAATCACAACACGGTGACTTGTGTGGTTGTCAGCGGCCATTTTGTGACGGTGCGACAGGGTTGCCAGATTGTGCATTAATATCCCGTTTCACCCTCCTGGTCCCAGTGGATTAAGTTCCGCCAGCTGTTGAAATATACTCTACTATGCTTTATAAGACTATTCGTTACATTTTTCCCAAAATCGTTGCACAACACTTGAAAAAATGCAAATGAAAATTAAAAATTATTTCCATGACGCCGCAAAATAGCTCCGTCGGTACTTTGGGTTATACATCTTGATAGTAGGGATGTTCGATAGGATCCTATATTTAGAAGTATCAATACATTTCACGAGTATCGTCATCTTTCGATACGGACTGTGTCAGAAAGAGTGACTGCCATTTGGCTGAGACATTACCCTGCCAAATCAGACATATCTTTCATCATTTGGTGCCGTCATATTCATCCCGACCACTGCATCCTCACGACTAGGCGACCTGTATGTTAAATTTGTTTTGATAGGGCAGCGGGTTATGCTATAAATCATGTCATAGTGTTTGTGCACTGATTGCAACGGTTAGATGGTACCAAAAATATTTTCATAAATAGGAGATCTTTCCCATTCCGGATCGAACAATCTACCAAAGATGCTTATAATCATGATACCTAGTAAATTTTCACGAAAAAATGCAAAACCAGCAAATGTAAAAGATTCATTTTGCACCCTCCACCACGGGACGTGATCGTCGTTAGACTTGGCAATCCTGCGAGTGTCAGATAGATATCCCCGCCAGTCAAAAAAAAAATGGACAAACAGTAAACATTACTAGTTTTTTGATTTTTGAACTTAATAGCCATTATCTGTGAAACATTTTTCATAATTTTTTGTCTATGTCCATAGTAATTGCATTATGCATCAGGGAGATGTAGGGATTGACACGTCTTACACATATTATCTGTGTTTTAGGATGGAGAGGACATAATGGTTTTATTGCTTTGAAGACATTCATTAACCGATAAATTAATAAATGATTACTATTATGACGTAAAGGAATATGAGGAATTGGATGGAATATATTTTATATTCTATTTTCTTGCAAAATACAGACAAATCCACACTATTCAACAGGTATGTAATGATAACTTTCAGTATATTGAAGCTGGTAAATTCAAGAGTGCCATGCATTAACAAACGTCCAAATCTGCTGCCAAATTTAACAGCTAGAAAATAGACCTATTATTTGCCGCATTCCCATTCGCTGAGGGGGATAACGGATTGTTAAATGTAAACCTATAACATATATCAAAATACATGAAAGTTGTCCTGTATTTTCTGTACAAAAGCATCATGTTGGAATCAAAAAGTGGTCTTGTTTATAATACAGTCGAATTTTCACGATTTTATTCAATATTTCAATAGAAATCACTAATATTCAGAGACCTTTGACAGCTTCTGTCAAATTGCATTTCGATAAGGTATTTTCCCATTGGTCCATAATATTAAAGTTGGTGAAATCGGCCCTTAATCTATTAAGCGGATGTAAGTGACGGAATTGATATTTTTGCAAAATGCAAGGCAACATCATAGTTAACTAAATTTTGTGTCTTTCGTAATCCAGTTCATTCTATGAATAATGTTGCATAGTAAATATATTACACAAATCTGTCATGTGCGACAGTTATGTTCTTACACCACCTTCATTCAGCATTCGAAAATTGTAGTTCGTAGCACGTTTTTGTGATTGACTTACAGGAAGGCGGGGAAGGTGCTCGTCAGTTTTCAATCCCCCCTAGATACAACCATCTTACTGAGCGTGAATGCTGTGATCATACAACAGCATTTACACAACTATGGTTTTTGTCTGTCCTGATTTTTTGCCACTATATATCGAGTTGCTTATCTACATCACGTCAGCTTAGTATCATTTTTTGGGCTGAGAAAATGAAGATCGTTCAACGCCAACATTAGCGAACCCCGGCCAATCAGCTTTTGTTTAGCGTTCTCACATTGGCGTTGGCCTACGTTGGCCCCATGCTTGAACGCGACTTCAGAGGAGTTTTTGTAGATACATGTGATTCTAAATATTATAAAAAAATTGTTAGAAGAATGATAGTATCTTAAGAACGTCACATTTTTTTACGTTATGATAATAGATTCGTGAATAACATTTTAGTTGTTGAAATATATAGAATACGTTTTTTTTTCGGTTGGGTTTTCGGGATTCTATGAGAAATGCGAAACCTAAAAAAGAAAACAGTTTTCTGTTAGTTTTCGCATATTGTATGGTACACAACAAACCGCATACTCTCCTGATTATGGGTCTGATACACATCGAAAGAATTTTTAAGGTCTCTTGTTACGCGAAGGCTACCCTTAAATTGCTCCCTTCGTCCAAGCGAAAATTTCTCGTTAATTATATCGGATTATGCACCCCACTTGCAAGCTGCCACCCCTTGTCTAGCTGACACGCGTTTGTTCTTCATATTATAGAAGTATGCATCGGCAGAACTCAGAGGCGTATAACACTATAAAAGTCTATAGACAAAAGGATTTTTGCAAACTGGTTACAACGTCCGTAAAGAGATCTGAAGTTACTTAGAAGATCCAATGACCCATCCACCACTAAAAATGTATGTTATGTATCTAATAAACCATACATGAAGGCCAAGAACTATAAACCCGTAGAAAAAGAGTTAAGATTGCTTATGTAGAGGTTTCTAAAAATCCCCAAACGAGCAGCTATATTGAAACTTTCGACTGCCATATTTACGCTAAAAATATAGTATTCGTGCGGCAATTGCATAGCCCCGAATTTCAACATGCTACCTCGAACGGTTGACAAAATGAGTGGAGAGGGAGCTTTTTGAAAAGCACTATTCGCAGACATCTCTGGTACAAGAATACTAGGGCCAAGAAGAGAAAACCTTTTTTCTTCATAAGAGATGATTACTGATGCTTCTAAAATATCGCAGAGTGGATAGTCTGTGTTACTCCTTAGGGTAGCCAATCAGATCTAAGACTAGACATAGATTATAGATCATATAAGACTTGTCAGTGAGATTTTGTGTGCATAGTGGACGATCTAGCGAGATAGACTACTCAGCACATATTTGCATGTCAATGTGAGCCTTATCTGACATAATATTCTGAATTGGAATATATTTGTATAACATTCGTCAATGTCAGATTGTAAATGTTATTGCTCCACATCCGATGGAAGTTGATCACATTTTACGTTTGGGGGCATGCTTTGCTACTTCTGGTTTACAGAAAAAAGGGAATATGACCAAGAATATACTTTTCAGAGCAAGATATTGTCATTCCATCGGAAGACATTTTTGAAAGATATTTAATTAAATAAAACCGATTCGTATGCAATATTTTCGATATCAAGCTCTTAAAATAGAGAATCCCTTGTATTGTTATCGCAACTGTTTGCGTGTACGAGTAAATTGGTTCACATTAAATTTAAAAACGAGTGCTTTAAATATCACCTTATCGACATCGTTTGGGAAATCCGTAAAATTATCGATCAATTAATTTATTTACCTACGTCAAGCATTGTTCTGACAGTGTTGTCATATTGGTCTAATCGATATCAGATATAAATATTGCAGAAGATATTCACGTAGATGGGAATACAAATCGAGAATTCTGTGGAAGTTGCAAATGTAATAACTCTTCAAACTAAGTCAATTTAATTTGGGTATTTTCCAATTTTTATTTTGCACTCGTTTTTCAAGATTGATGTGGCTTATCCCATCTTTCACCTGTGTATTGAGAAAAAAAATGAAATTTGTATACTGAAAGAGAACTCATTCAAATCCTTTGCATCTCTCGCTGGAGGCAACATCAACATACATTTCAAATAAAACTGTCAATATCAGAAGAATGATATTTTCTCATACCTCGACAAAACCTCAACTTCTATGTCAGGGCCGTACCTACTAAAGGACATGGGAGAACTTATAACATTTTCTGTAAGCAATATTTTCATATCAGTAATTTTTTTGTTGAATACACTCCTTGGCATGTTGTCAAAATATGTTTTTTAAATGTTGGTAATCAACAAAAATAAACTTTCTTTATAGGTTATTATAAGGTTACACATTGAGCTCTTTTTGGAAATGAACTTGGATCTTGTATAAATGGATTATATTAGACCTTATGAAATCGCAATCTTTTGTAATAGATGAATCTTGAACAAGAAAGTAAACAGAACGCTGATAAACAAACCTTTGTCCTTATTTGAGCTTCCCGTATGCCCCAGTCACAAGATCTTTGAAGTTGTTCATCTTATTGGGCCTTTTTCCTAATTTGTTAGGTATCTAATCTTAAAATATTTCTTGTCCTTACTCAGTGAAAATTATAGTGTTCCCACTTACAATATTCTCTTTTTATTTCAGCCTAGCTCGGTTATCAGGTGAAGACTATCCCCTTCCACCTGGAGCTACTTCGGTGGATGACAGTTCCCCTGAAGCACCCCCTCCTCCTTACGATCCCGCGGCAGGCGGTAAACAGGGATGGATGACTGGAATCTTCGGCTGCCTAAGGCCGGTCCTGTCCATCATAGGAAAGGGGGTGGTAGACAGCAGGAGCAGTCAAGGTTGGTATTATTAAAGTGGTCCCCAACCCCAATAAGGCAATATCGCTAGAGATGAAGTTTACATGTCACTATTATTGGAGCAAACGGCTTAGCATGCAGTGCACTGAATTTGAAGGGTTATACAGGGTGATTCAGAAAAACGTAGCAATATTTCTAGGCCAAAGAGTAGATAAAAAATACGAAAAGTACATATAAATGTGGATCCCGAAATCCCCGCTTATAAAGTTATAATTTCAAAAAAAAACAAGTTTTCTGAGTATACATTGGCAAAATGTTGGTACGTGTAGTGCTATCAGCATAGCAAATAAATCCAAAAATTTCAGTGCCTGAGCCTAAATATTGGTTAATTTTGACCTCTACAGAATAAAAAAAACAAATAATTTCAAAGTGGGCACTAGATGAAGTAAGTTTGAGGACCACTGCTTTAGAATATCGATCTCGCGCTAGTACAAAGTTCAAGCTGCAATGTCAGTAAAGAGAACTGCAGTTACCTGGAGTCTCAAGAAAAATCCACGACCCAGCCGCCATCTTGAAACTTCCAACTACTACTGTAAGATATAGCCAATTCATACAAAAACTGAGCATGAGCCTAAACCAGTGGCTCAGAAATTGGTAAATTTTGATCCCTGTAGAAGGAAAAACAAAATCATTTTCTACGCCAATGACTCTTAGGAAGCATTTGTTGAATTTTTGAATGAAATATTTGAATTTTACATAAAGGGCCATTCTTGAGAAATTTTTGACAGAACAGTTCTTTTGGAGAAAAAATGGTTTGAATATTGAAATTTAGAACATACTATATTTTGGAGACTTGCGAGCATTGTGCTATGCTTATGCTCATGACATATTTATGGTGTTCGTTTATCCGATTTTATCCTCTACGGGTTTGCCGTTTTCAATCTCAGCCGACTTTTGTTAATTTCCCAATCGCGTTCCTCTTAATCTCTTCTATTGCATTTCTTATGTATACTTACCAGTAGTCACTATACTTTAGATTTATTGTGAAAACTCATTTTACTAAACTGTGAACGCCGATTTTATCATCTCAAACCATACTCCTTGTACCCTCCATGCATTTTCTCTAGTTATCTGAATAATTTTCGCAAAAAGTCACTGTCTCTTCGCTGTAGAGTAAAAAGCGTTGCAAAATATTTTGGAATATACACATGCTTTTTTGTGTTGTTTGTTACGTTCACTTTATTCCGCTATTTTTCTCACGCTGATTCGGTTGTTGATATTCTTTTAGTCCAAGAAGTATCCTCCCCTCTGCTCAAAAATAATTTGATTTGCTTTTTATGTAAAATCTGATTCAAAGAGCACCGCTTTTAACGAAAGTACATGTTGTCAGGCTCGCAAATGCTTCAACAGTTCTAAATATTTTTTCAAACAAATTTTAATAATCGATTTTTTCGCTCCAAAGTTTTTTTTCGGACAAAAAAAAGATACTTATGAATTTTTCTCGACTTTTGAAACTTTTTAGATGCGTGAGATTTAATATTTGGAAAAGTGTAAAATGCGCCATTTCCGATCCCGAAACGAATATGAAAAAAAATTAAAATCTTAATGTTGCTAAAGTTCCTATTAATAAAAACCAAAAGCACTTTAGGGGGTATTGTTATTATAAACCTTTGTGTCTCTATACAAAACCGATCCATTTTTTGGAATAGCAAAATTATTCGAGTATTCAAATCAATAATGCTTAGGTTTTTTCCACTTCAACTGATTCACTTCTTTTCATTGCTGGATTTCATCCTTCCTTCCCTTCATTCCCTTACCCCTTGAATTTGTCTAGTATCTGATTAACCAGACCTAACAGACTAACAGACCGACGAGACTTTTAACTAACAGCAAAGGCCTACCGGACCGTTTTGACAAACAACGACGAACACTATCATATGCCATCTCCGACATAGGATCTCCAAGAGATGATTTGTAGTATTCCTGTCTGGTTGAAAGATATATGTTATGCTGTTGTCTAATAATGAGTTGGAGAGATAAATATGTAAATAATGAATGTATTTTCCCTCTTTATGGTGTAGTGGAAGATTCTCCTTATCGAGGTTCAATTATTAAACATGATCTTGACTAAAATACAAGATATATGAAGATTGGTATCCTAATGTACCTAATATTTCTTGCTTCTTAGATGACTGGGAGATCCCATTCGATCAGATCACCGAGCTGAAATTCCTCGGCTGCGGTGGCCAAGGGGCCGTTTTCGAAGCCAAGTTGAACAACATGCGAGTGGCCGTGAAGAAAGTCTCTGAACTGAAAGACACAGACATCAAGAACCTTAGGAAGTTGAACCACCCTAACATCGTGAAGTTCAAAGGAGTGTGTACCAGGGAACCGCAATGTTACTGCATCATCATGGAGTACTGCCATGGCACTCTGTTCGAGTTGCTCAAGAATCAGAAGAACGTGGTGACGCCAAACAGAGTGGCTTCGTGGGCCAAACAGATTGCTTGTGGGATGCACTATTTGCATTCGCACAAGATTATACATAGGGATCTCAAGAGCCCCAAGTAAGTCAACATCATATTACAAACTATGTTTTAGTATCATTTTTTTTTCGCAAAACGCATAGTTCGCATCTCGATTTCCTAATTCGGAATCCACATACGAAATTCCGTGGACCCACATACAGTCTGCGAAATTCAAAAGTTCGCCTCTTGCTCGTCTGCCACGTAAGGACAAAAATTGACTTGAAATTAACTGAGCCTAGAATAGTCTTCTGGATCTAGTAAGATAAGATTTGAGCTTAAATTAAGGCGCCCGTCCAAATATTAATTTTTGAAAATGTTGAGAGCTATTTTTAGAGATTATTCTCGTAAATTTCAGTATGCAGTCTTTTCGTTCCGGGCAATTTTTTTTTAGGTTTTCCGGATCCTTCAGAACAAAAAATATTATCAGTAATTTTTCTCTAATGTTGACCCCATCCGAGTTATAAGCGATTGAATGTCAGCAAGATCTTACAAAGTGGCAGTTTCATTGCTTGAAAGCTCGTTCAAGATTTTTATTTTTAAACATTTCAAATGTCTCAAATCTTCCCCTCCAAAGAGAATCTTAGGTTGAGTTTATTTTAAACTTGCTTGGTAGCTTTTAATCTTCGGAGACTCTACGAAAATAGGTAAATTGTCGAAAATGCAAAAGGCTCCAGTATGTCTGGCAAGTATGGCTGTCAGTGGATCTCCGTCTTAAGAAAGTGAATGCCGAAGAGCCCTTGAATGACAAATACCCAGTAGACAATCACAGGACCCTGAATTATACCGGCTAGCTTCATATGGAAAATAAGAGTCAAGACATGCGAAAATTTCAATCTAATGGGTGAAGCAAGATGCAACAAGATTGTTAAGTGGACGTCCTGCAGAATGAAGTTATTATTATTTGTTGAAAGTTTGACAATACATGACACACGAGTCGCTTCGTTCTGACACTGTTCAAATAGATGGATTAATGTTTTTGAGAATTGGGTACGGATTTCGAATTCGGGAGTTATAGAGTTCGACATTGTCTTTTCGAATGTCCACGTTACCACTTTAACAGTTTTTTTATATCCAATCAGGATTATTCAACAATTATAATATGTATATGAAAAATTCAGTTTCATCATTGATTAACAAATATATTTATTGATGTTTATGATTTATCCGCTACTGGCACTATTATATTGGAACAGCACATCAACTTCTTAGCAAATTGATAATAAATGTAGCAATATTTCAAGGTAGCTAAACCCACTGCTAATGATGTTCTCATTTTCCTTGTAGTGTTTTAATTGGAGACGAAGAGACGATAAAAATCAGCGACTTTGGAACGTCGAGGACTTGGAATGGCGTCAGTGAGAAGATGTCATTTGCTGGTACCGTTGCATGGATGGCTCCAGAAGCCATTCAGGAATTAGCTTGTAGTGAAAAGGTAAGGTAACACCGAACCCTCACCATTTGGTCTAAAACAAGGAACATAAATTGCTGCTTAGAATAAATCTTGATAGGAAATAAGTCACAGCTAAGTGCCAGTGGCCGGAGAGTTATCCTTCAGACTGCCCCTAAAGTTTATCTATCCAAGAAACACACTAAACCAAAATATAACGCGTATTCAGTACGTGATGAGCACGATACATTCCCAAAAATGGTCGAGCCCATATACAGGACCAATGGCAAACCAGGTATGTGGAGTGGGAGATGATACCGTGGTGAATGCAACCTCGCCGGCCGCCGTCGTTCTGGAATTCGATCACCTGCAGTATGCGTGGATATGTTTGGGTTTAGTTTCTTTCTTCTATAGATGGTGTGTAGATAGTAGGGAGAAACTTCCGTATACATAACAAGCAGAAAATGTTATCAACACCAGAAAACAGTGACATTTAACTATCGAGTTACCTATTTACTCATTTCATTATGCAATAAATTACAGATAAACACTGTTGGATTAATATGCTGCTCCGGGCAATTGCCCAAAGAGCGCTTCAGGGAATTGTACTGAAAGTGGGAACAAAATCAGTTGGTAGTTTAGAGAATAGGGAAAGCAGTAGTGTACTTGATGTCCCTTATGATACTTTGAAACTATGCCGATATTTACGCTCATCAGATGATTACGATACTGCCATAATCACCGACATTGACATTACTACACTTAATGGGTACTCTTCAGAATGGGCTATACATGTGATTGACTTAACACATAAGAATAAATATGGTCTCTGATCGGTCAAGCAGCAAAAAATGTACTAATGAACGTGACCAGTATAGACATGCTTTTTTATTACTGTTTCTTTAATTCGTTCATTTTAGGTTGACATTTGGTCATTCGGAATAGTGCTGTGGGAGCTGTTGACATGTGAAGTGCCATACGACGGAATGGAACAGGGTGCCATAATGTATGCCGTCGGAACTGGAAAACTCAAGCCCCCCATTCCAGAAAGCTGCCCAGATGGGTAAGCATGACAAGTCATATTAAATAATATTTACTTGAAACAAGCTGGTCCACCAGTACAATTTGGCGAGACGATGTAATAGTTGAGAAACAAATTCTGAAAAGAGTAATGCATTCCACTAAGTGTTGTTGCCAAGACGTACCGCGCAAGGAGCGGTAAATGATGAGTTATTTTACGATCTTCCAACTGGAACTTGATTATAACTAATATCTAGAATGATTACGATAAACAAAAAGTAAAGTACATACATCTTTTATTATTAACTTCTGTACTTTATACCTTTCTTGAAACATGGCCAACAGTGGGAATTACTATGCCAGACTCGGGTATCTTAACCATTATAAAAACTTTGAGAAAATATATTCTACCTTAAACTGATGCTTACACAGCATCTATAACCTAATATAATCTATTATTAACTTTTAAAAGAATAACACTCCGTCCTTGATGATTTTCAGGTACAAACTTATAATGCAAATGTGCTGGAAAATGAACCCGAAAGAACGGCCATCTTTCAAGCTGATCTGCAACCACTTGGAGATCGCGTCCTGCGAAATATTAGAGCGATTCGAGCCCAAAGAATTCTTCAAAACCCAGGAGAGTTGGAAGCAAGAAATCAAGTCACACATGACACAGTTTTGCGAGCAGTTGCAAAAACATAAGATCGAATATCAGTTGAAGGAAGAACAGCTGATTAAGCTAAGGGAGAGGGAGATCAAACACATAGAGGATATCAGAAAGATTTATGACAGAAAGTTGGAGAAGGTAAGTCAAACACGTCTTCGAAACATAAAAAAATAGATGATAGTTAACTAGAAAAAGAAACATTACTCTGGATGCAATAGAGAGTTTTGGCATAAATGTCAAAAAAGGCGAACCTTAGCACTTACGCAAGAGGTATATGTGATTGTTCAAACTCTAAAATAGACTTGTGTAGTTCAGGAATGCATTACTGAATGATAATCAAACGTTAGTCATTAAAAACTGAGGATTTCTAGATTCCGCAGGGTGATAGGGACCAGGAATTTTAAATTAACGTTTATGTGTGGCAATAAACAGAACTGTCAATATTATAACTGGATAGTAATAGGCAGGGGCCCGCAGGGATATTACGTAACTTGAAAAGTGACATTACGTCGTTTTTTTTACTGTGTGTAGGTTTTTTGCGATATTATGAAGGTTCCCCTACAAGATGTGAACTAGGAACTAGCTGAACTTCACTTCGTGCTCATTTGTAGCAGGAGAGGAATGAACTATTCGCACACCACCAGCTATCTAGTCAACAAGTTGACAATTTATCAGATGTTTTTTGACATTATATAGGTTTTTTTATGTAATAACCCTGCCGGACAAATTTCGAATGCTATGGAGAATCATTTACTTTCATATGGGTTAGCATATCACTTTAAATCATTCAGAAAGTTAGTAAACACTTATCTCATGTAGCATAACAAAAAAGGAGCGTGAAACGTTATTTCAATGTTTAGGCTAGGTTTGACATCTTTGAAATCTTCCCACCACGGACTTAAAAAAACCACTGATTAAACGAAAAAATGCAGAGACAACTTTTTAAACAAAAACTACTTTAACCCCTTTCACCCTCGCCCCCCCAGGGTCATCCCCTTAAAAATTTTAAATGACAAGGGGTATCGAGTAATAGCTTGTTTGAAAGGTCGTTGGAAGTCCATTATATTGACGTTTGATTTTTTTAAATCGGTCGATTCGTTTTCAAGAAAATTAGAAAAATCTTCATTTATCTTACCATTTTGGAAGTAAAGTCTGAATCAATAAATTAATTTTCACTATCCCAAGATCGTCACAAAGGCAGCAGCAAATTAAATTTTTTCTTTCCCTTGGCAACAAATAACTAAACCGGTATAACAATAAATATAGTTCGCCCAGGATGTGTTGGTTGTTGCCACGTCTAATTTATAAATAAATTATAAACGAATTGTAGATTTGGCAAACCCTTTGCACACTTATTGAAATAAAATGTGATATTTTCGTGTGTTTTTGTTTTCTATCTGAACAAATTAAGATAAATAAAGATTTTTCTAATTTACTCGAAAACGAATCGACTGATTTTAAAAAATCAGTCTTCATAACAAAGGACTTCGAAAAACCTTTCAAACAAGCTATTACTCGATACCCCTTGATATTTAAAATTTTTAAGGGAATGACCCTGGGGGGCCGAGGGTGAAAGTGGTGAAGTAGGTTTTGGTTAAAAAGTTGTCCCCCTTGACAAATCTTTTGACGTGCCTCGGAGTTTTTTCTTTTAATCGGTAATCGGTAAAGTCCGTGGTGGGAGGTTTTCAAATGAACACCCTGTATATCGAAATGTTAGGGATGGGTTATTTGCTATGACAAGAATTTGAAGTGGCGTTTGGCAGTTTTGACGCTGAAGAAGCCACAATGAAACAATCACATTTTGAAGGTTCCAGCGTTGGTTTTGGTCGAAAAAATGGTCGAAACTATCATGTAACATAACACTTTACTTACCAACTTACCAATTATTGACAATATTTTATATTTTTGTAGGTGAACCAGATGTACGTAGAATTGATGGGGTTCCTGCAGCAGATCGAAAGGCAAAGGTATGGTGCAAGACAGAGGAAGTTCTTGCCTAGGTTTACAAACACTAGGAGGAGGTCTAGCAATCAGAGCACCACACCTACTAGTCCTGATTGTACAAGCCCAGATAGTCCTCAAATTGTAAGTATTTCTGAATTTGTTAATCCATTTTGATGTCGTTCCGCGTGGAGATAACGTCATGTGCCCGCGACCGACACACGAGACTATTGACGTAACACTAATATAGAAAACCTGTAATTGATAGTATAAAATACTAATATAATAATACAAACCTCACAAAGTATCATCTATTACCAGAATCGACCACTGCGAGAGTGAAAGCAGCAAGCTGTCTGTTGAAATAGTATCTCAGTTCGCAGTGACAGCTGGGTCACCACTGTGGCCGCTAGATGCTGCCAATTCTGGTGCTTTAGTATTATATGGTCTACTCACCATTAAACAGACTAGTAATATAGCTTTCGTTCGCCCGACCTCAGACGGCCAATCATGGACCGCTGTTTCGTGCTATTAGGCGCCTCTTTGGCATGGTCTAAGCTTGATCTCAGGTAGGACAATGAACGAAAACTGAGCAACTACCCTCTATCTAGAGTATACAGTCTAACGAAATAAGTCTCGCGTTTCGATCTCAGACCTGGTGTCTATGTCTGCGTGGAACTTCAGCTTTAGGAGGATGTTTCGATACTTTAGTCATTGGCGCAGATGGCCACTTTTAATCCGAAATCCTATTTCGTTTTTTAATGACACGAAATATTGTTTATATAATATTTTTATAATCGTTTTACTGTTACAGACTCCTGCAAAGGCACCTTTGTACACGAAACAGAAACTCATGACGGATACAGTAACTCAAACCACATCAACTCATACACAGTCTGTGATTTCAAGGAAGAGGCACCACAGGACAAATTCGGGATCTCCAAGGAACTCTAGGAGCTCCAGATCGTCAAGTTCTAGGACATCTATAGTGGTTGATGCGGAAACACAGACTGAATCAATGGTACACCAATCACTTTTATCTTTGGAACCTAGTATCAAAAAACAATATAGTCGAATCCAGCTTAATTCGTAGGGGAGACACGGGCAGCCCGAATCACTTTCGGAGAGTGCCAATTCATAGCACGAAATTATTAAAAAATGATCTATCTGAATACTTTTATGTGGATTTTAATTATTTCAGAAACATTAAACACTACTATTTTAACTTTACAATATAGTTTGAGCAAGTTACGGCCTAAATTATTAAAGACTGTATTTGATTCTATTTGCCCGACCCTCTAGGGTAAAAGGAATCACAGGTGAGGGCAAAAGGATTCAAAAGAAAAAATATGATATGGAAAATAGAAAAATATATATTATCATTAAGGAAAACTGAAAATGGTAACTCTTACAATAATTATTCTCTTAACCTAATTATTTTCTCTAATCTTTAACCTGATTTTATTAATCTTGATATATATAAAATAAAAAAAACTATTATTAGTAGAAACTGAAAAAGGTATTCTATAATTATTCTTAACTCAATTATGTTCTCTGATCTTTGACCTGATTTTGACAATCTTGACAAATATAAATTCCAGTCTTGTAGCTTGTGCATTTCTGATGTGCCCACTTCTCACAGAAATTGCACTGTATCCAGTGTTCGCCTGGAATGGAGTTTTCAAAGGAATCGTCACATATCAAACATGGAGTTTCTTCTTCATCTGGAGCGGTTTTCGGTGGTGAAGGTGGACGAGGTATTTTCAGTTTGCTGGAATCTGTCTCTTGTTGGATCTTCCTTCTAATGCTTTTGACCCATTCTTTGCTCTTACTTTTTTCTCTAATTTCTTCTTTAATTGGCGTAGAAGTCAAAATCTCTGATTTCTGTTGATTCCTTTTTGTTTTGGGTTCTTTTCGTTTATCACATTTAGGTATAATATGAATATCAATAATTTTAATGCGATTATTTCCTTTTGGAGCGTCACTAGCTTGTTTTAAGGTCGTACTATTATTGAGACCAGAAGGTTCAGGTTTTGCGATATCATTATGGGCAGATGTATTGGGCGGTCCAATTTCAATAACATCCATATCTTGAGGATTATGGTGAATACGGACCTCTGGTTCTTCAATGTTAGTTACATCTGCTGGAAGGAAGTCCACTTCGGAAAAAACATCTAAATCACATCTTGCAATGCCAGTTTTTTCGAAACCTTTTATAGCGTTTGTTGGTGTTGCAGCTTTAAGGTAGGCATTATTAAAAATTTTGCCTACATCAAACAACGTAACGCGTTGTGCAGGATGCGCTTTTTGCCACTTGTCAATTTCATTTTGGAAATAAGTTCCGAAAGGGCCATAAACGGACACATCTAGCGGCTGGAGCTTGTGTGTCGTGTGGGGTGGAACCGACAAAATGATGACATTATTCTGAGAGGCTTAATCAAGGACATCAATAGACCTATGAGAAGCATGATTGTCTAAGATTAATAGACATTTATGGTCTTCATTTGGTCTAACGTTGCTTACAAAAAACTTCATCCACTCCAGGAAAGCTTCGGAACTTATCCATCCAGAATCAGTTACTAACTGAGAAGAGCCTGGTGGAGTTCCTTCCATGTACCTTGGATTTTTCTTTTTCCTTGGGAAAACTAGTGTAGGAGGAATATATGCCCCAGCAGCGGAACAACAAAACAGTGCCGTTACTAGTGTGCCTCGCTCGGAGGAAGATATAGCTCCAACTCCCTTTTTGCCTTTCAGGGAAATAACCTTAGGAGGCCTATTTGTAGAGGTTTGGATCCCTGTCTCATCTACATTGTACATATTTTCAGGCAAAATATTGTTTTTCTCGATGACGTCCCTCAAATTTTCGAAAAACCTCTCCACTTGTGGGCGATTAAAGCCACTGGCTCGTGCAACACTGGTCGGCTCAGGTGTCCGTAAGCTTAACTCAGGATGTCTCTTCATAAAATTTTGATACCATTGCTGACCCGCTGCATTATTTTTAAAACAATGAATAATGTGGTTCGCTTCGGCGTATTGATATGCTAACACACAAAGATCTCGTCGCGTAAGCCCATAAAAACGGCTATCAAGCTCTTTGATATGGGTAACAAATTCTTGTTCTTCTTCTGGAGTGAAAACCGTCTTAAATCTGCCCAGAGATTTAGTAGTTTTATTAGAATTCACATGCTTAAGGAGCGTTGAGAATGGAATGTTATATATTAAAGACGCTTTTCTTATCGACTCCCCGTTACGCACTGCTTCCAATGCATGTTCCATGGATGTTTCTGTCCAGGTGCTTCCTCGTACCGACTTTCTTTTATAGTTGAAAACCATCTAGAAAAGAAGCGAAAATTACATACCTACATGAAAATCGAAAATTGATATAAGGGCAAAAAGAATCATGATCCCTTTTGCCTGATTCCTCTTGCCCGAAATGCACTGTCACAAAGGAAATAAAAATTTACGAGACGCTGGCAACAATGGACATATTTTCAAGGTTAGGTAGAAAAGTAGAAGTGCCAATCTTTCGATTATTAACTAAATCGTTTTGAATAAATGGCTGAGTCACTACTTACCCTTCTTCAAAAATCCTTTGAACAACTATTCAAGGCGTAATTAATCAGAACATCTTAAAAAATATGAGGTAAAAACTTTAGCACGAGGGAACGCGTTGCGCATGAACTTGTGCCATACTCAGCGAATTGTTAAACAGCGTTGTCAGGTTTCTGTGATGAAGCTGTTTTCATTTATTTAGCTGATTCCTTTTGCCCACTATATCCCTTTTGCCCGATTTTACCCTAACCATATCTTAATTTAAAGCAAAAAATAGACCAAAGAATATTCTACTTTGATGGATACTTTACAAATTTCAACGAATAGCAATGATAAACGATCCATACTATGATAATTTGAAATGAGCAGCTAAGATGTTTTTTGTAATTTCTATTTGTCGTTGTTCGTCAGGATCATTGCTCCTGGTGCTATGCACCAGAGTGATACGTGAGATAGATTGGATTCAGATCAATCAGATAAAATCAACATGAATGTTGTAAAAGTTTTCTAGTTTTCGAGATATTGCCACTTTTAGTCTTTGAACTTTTTAAAAAATCCCTACTTGTTGCGCTCCTTTTTTGCCTGTTATAGCTTATAACTTATGAGTTTTTTCCTGGGCTACAATTAATAGTTGAGAAATAAATAGTTGAGAAAACTCGGTACTTCTTATTTCATTGATAAGTAGCACAGTATTCTAAAACAAAGCCTATATTACTACATTCGGTTTCAATGCGAAAACCTAAAGTTTGACTTATTGCTGTGAAAAAATGTACCAGACTGAATCTGCAAATGACCTTAAAAACTAGCTATTCGATGCTCTTCAAAAAATAGTATAATATTTGTAGGTTCTTTTTACTAAAGACTGAATAATTCCAACTTTTGACATTGAAGTAATACTTGCGAAATACTACAAATCAAAAATAATAGGTGCAGCTGTTTTTGGTGTCCAAATTACAACTTCGTAGTTGCTGTCATAGCTTTTTATTTTAGCAAATGTCTAAAACGGCTATCCATTATTCCTTTTATTCACTGTTATGTGCAGGCATCAAAATAATGAACAGAACATTAGGCTGTATTTTTTTATTTCCATTGATTTTTACAACATTCAAATCAAATAAAGAATTAGGAATCATGATTAACATCTTAAATTAACTAAATGAAAATGAAGTCAACATCTTGTAATGTAAATACTATCTGAAACAAATGATTATAATTACCATTATCATTATTTTTACAACAGATTTTCAAAATGTCTACCATCGACTCTTGTACACAACCTGCATGTTCTTAAAAAGTGTCCTTTTAAACGTCTCAAATTTATATCGGATCTTTCGGGTGGTACTTGACGAGTTCGATGACACAGTTCATCGGCTGATCGAACTGGTTTCCTATAGACCTTATCTTTTAAACATTCCCAGTAAAGTCATCCAGAGGGTTCAGGTCTGGGGAGCATGGGGGATACCACATTGCTCCTAGCCAGCGTATCCATCTTCTAGAGAACTTTTCATATCAAGATATCCCCTTACTGCACTATCAGTGTGTGCAGGGCACCCATCATTCTGTAACCACATCCTTCTTCTTGTCTCAAGAGGCACATCTTCCAAAAGAATGGGTTGATGATGTTGCAAAAAATCTGTGCAAATTTGAGTTTTTAAGATCAATTGCCGTTTCAGTCTGGTATATTTTTTTTCACAGTAATTAGTCAAACTTTAGTAAAGGTTTTCACATTGAAGCAAAATGTAATAATTAATTTTTTTTAGCATACCGTGCTAGTTTTCAATGAAATCAATACTCGGTTGTCTCAACCAACTAATAACGGTAGCCCAGGAAAAAACATAAGATACAAGTTTTTTATATCCATAACAGGCAAAAAAGGAGCAAGCAGTAGGGATTTTTTTGAAAAAGAAAAGTGGCAATATCTCGAAATCTAGAGAACTTTTACTAAGTGCATGTCGATTTTATCTGACTGATCTGCAGTCAATCTACCTCTCGTGTCACTCTGGCGTGTTATTTCTAGGACACCCTGTGGATGGAATTCACACGGCCGGATCCCAGACACAGTCACCGACCACTGTACGAACAAACCTTATAACGTTTGTTTTCCACAAAGAGCGTAATTTGACTTTTAAATTATATTTTAGGATATTAGTGAGACTGACATGAGTCCTACAACAAGCTGTCCCCCAAGCGGCACCTCTACGTCAACCTCTTACCCACAACGAGTAATATTACAAGAATTTCGAAGCGATTTCAACGATGAATCGGCCAACGGAAATTGTGTGCAGCTGCACTATCTTGCGAGAAGCGCAGAACCAAGTAAGTAGAAACTACAACACTTATGCAGAGACACTGCAACCTCGGTAGCACGGTGGTTAGCGCATCGAGCTAGCAACCTGGGACTCGCGGGTCCGAATCTCCGCCCCATATGTCTAATTCCGAGCCATGGATGTTGTGTTGGTGTAGTCTTCATCAGGCACGTGGGTGCAATATTAACGATAGGTACATCTGTCGCTGGAGCTGGTTTACTATATCAGCTACCAGTAGATGGCTCGTGAAGTAGTACAGTGTTGGTGCTACGGGGTCGAAAAAAAAAAGTCAAAGGTGGCCTAGATGCCAGGCTTTGCCTCCCTACCACTACTACAGCTAGAATGAATAATTAATCAACCAAACTTGTCTTAAATAATGAATGCTGTATTTTTTTTAAGCAACAGAAGTTTTTACACGACTGGAATCCGACCCTATTAGCCCAGTTAGAGAAATGAGGTTTGACAGCGAGGACACTGCAAATCGAAATATCAGAAGCCCAAGAGAGTCCTCTGAGGAAGATAATTTAGAAACCATTGGCAGAAAAGTATCTGCTATCAAAATAGGTGAGAATTAGATAGAATAACAAGACAGGATTGCAAGACTTTTTCATTCATCATCGTAATATAATAATTTTGTTAGATTAATAATTAAAGTCACGATTCTCCTGTTTACACACAGAACACCAGCAGTGAATGTTATTCTTATTTGTTGTAGGGTCAATGTTCTCACCGGATAACGGCAATATCTCAAGCAGCATTGGGGACATTATGAGGCAGAGGACACGGTCTGAAACAAAAGACGATCTGGACAGCACGGATAATGCAGCTAACGAAGACAGCTTTACTGATGAGGAAGGAGAAATATACAATCCTTCACTTCGAAGGAGAAGGTAATGATAATGGTTAAAATAAATCGCAGTGAGGACTATAGAAACAGGAACTAACTAGTAATAGATAGTTATTCTGTAATATAACAAATAAAATACCCCTTACACTCGTCTCGTTTTTGTAAAAATTGCTTCTATGGTTCTCAGAAGTTTAAAACTAAAAACTAAAACTTTAATACGGTTTTTATGTAATTTTCCTAGCAAACAAGGAAAAGAAACACCCAAACAAAGGTAAAATGGATCACTTAGAACACTTAGTTCATGACCATGCACAAAGCTTTGTACTACACCACAGTAAATATCAATGTTTACGAAGTACACGAGTTATTCTTACTGTTATTTTGAAAATTATTTTATTCAATTACAAAGAGTTATTTATAGAGATACAAGGACCCGATTAATATAATAATAACTGTATTGAATCATGCTAGATCGGTCCAGATTTGAGGATTTTACAAAATTTGTCACATACATTTTCTTGGCTGGCCATTTATAAGTTGACTTTCCTACAAGGCCTTCAAGTATCACAAAGTTGCAAAGCTCGTTAAGCAATTTCACGTCAGCCTGACGAAAAAAAAACATGGTGTTTCATAATTATTATTATTTATTTGGTGTAATTGTTACTCCGAATAACAATTTCTAATGGTAAAGGGTTGCTAGTAAGCTAATAGAGGCATAAGTTCAATATAGCCGCCGAGTGGGGTCCTTCCTTGAAGTCTCCTACTATCGTTATACCCCTGATTATAGAACCAGAAGCTCATGGTACAAAGAGTAAGACCGCGTATGCAGTGCTTTTCAAAAAGCTCCCGCCCCCCAATAATTCCTTGAACGGGAACAACCTAGCAAACTGAAATTCGAGGTGAGGAAATTGATGTATGAATTCTAACGTCAAACTGACATCTGTTATCAACATGGCGGTTGGGCGCCGTATTGGAACATTTTTAAATGGAATGGGGTTCACGCGGTGCCGCATTTTAAAGCTCCTTAAAGTATGTTATAACCCCAGATTAACTAGCCTTCATCTTTTGGAAAATATTACGCAATCTGTTAAAAAACATGACAGATTTTGAATGTTCCGTATTTGATTACATATTTCATACATTAGTTGTTGAGTAATCAGCGATTCAATGTACTAAGACGCTCAATATTGCAATATTCTGGGGTTATAAAAACTCATAAGGACCTTCAAAATGACTATAATTCTATTTGAAAAATATTTCTAGCCACCTTCTTGAAATTTTCCGTCACCTGTCATCTTTGCGTCAAAGTATATCTAGTAATCATTCATTCGAATTTCACCACCGTAAATTTCTACTTGCTAACTTTACCCATTCAAAACATACGCCTGTTATTTTTTTGTACAATTTTTGGTTTGATTTTGAAGGTCGATTAGCTTATCTGCTCGCTTGTATCTCCTCTTGCGTCTCACATAGCAACGTTTATGTTAAGTGATTCATTTACAAGCCGTTTTGATTTGTCTGCATGTGAGAATATGTTTGTGAAAACTTTTAAATTAAAAGTTACATATTAGCACTTTTTGATTCCGACTTTTTATTTTATCAGCCTCGCCCGTCGTCCAATACGTCGTTCCGGTCGATACAAATCCTCACTCCACCACCAACACAAGAGAGAACCCTGTGCCAGCGACGAGAACACCTCCGAATACTCAGTTTCCCCCTCTAGCAAATCTTCCACCCTGGAGTCCAACCCTGATCGATGCCTGCCCTGCCCTCTGGCGACCAACGCTGCCGTCAAACGACCGAATGACAGTGGCGGATCGTCGGAACCGGAAGAAGACAGTGACAGTGAGGAAAATATGACTATCGTGACGCAAATACCGGCGGCGGGTTTCAGGGTGCATCGAGGGGAGAACTTGGTGTAAATGTTACGCTTAAGGGCAACAGCAATATTGTTTGAGAAATGATAGGTTCCATCATTACCCCCACGTTATAGTTTGAGCATAGACGATACTAAAAGTATAACATTCATCGAAACTTCTGATGTATTGTAACCCGGTTTTTCAATCGCAGGTTATCTGTGGCATCGCGATTAAACAATACATAACTAGTAATGAATGATATTTAACTTTATACAATCATCTACTTGTCACAGATGGCACGAGACACCAGTTTCGCACACGAAAAGTGCATATTAATAGCAGCTTGTAAAATAAATTTATTAACAACTGTTAACCACCAGATTACAGTTATATAGTCAACTTGCTATTAAAAAACCAGGTATAAGCAGATAAGTCACTAAGTTTTATGGAAAGACGGTGCCTGTAACCACACTTAATATGAACGCTAACGTTTTAAAGTCGCTCCTGATTTCTTATTCCACGTACCAGTCTGAATTTTCATTGTCACCTGAAACCTGTTAGCATCAATGGTTAACAAAACACAGGCCTGCGATGGTTTTTTCCTTATACAGCTAATTAGTAACTGGGGTGCGCATCAGATACTGAGTTATGAAAACTAGGCTGTCACTGAAGTGTCATTTGGACGGTAAGAGCAGGACATGGTGGATCAATAGAAGCAATACTTTCAGGTATATTTTTTGAAGAATCGACTTTTACATTTTCCTTAGTACTGCTGTCCGCTAATAACTGAAATAAGGAAAAAGGCGCAGCGGATCCGTTTAGGATAGAGTCCACTTAATATTGTTCGTAGATATTAAAAAAACTAGTTGTTTTCTTTATGCAAAAATTGTGTGGGTCAAAAACCGCCCACATGGAGCCTCAGATGCAAAGATCAAAGAGGACATTTTTGAAACAGAATGGACAGACTTTTGTAGTTAAAAAAATACAATGTCTTTTTGATTTAGGTAGTTCTTTAGCATTATTTTTGACTACTATTGTCGGTCTTTTAGATAAAAAATTAGTTTTCATTCAATAATGTTTGCTTTAAAATTAAATCTCTACGTGCTAGAAAAGAAACAGCTGTATTTTAATTCGACATACATAGGCATTTAAAAAATAATACAATAACTGAAAGGAGAAAATAGTCGGAAAATTTCCCAGGCCTGTGTATTTTAGAATCTGAAAATTAATTTTTTTGGCAGTTTAAGGAGATTAGAGAAATGAATCGGGGCGATCGAAAAACTGATTTTTAGTAAAACTGAATATAAGTTTTGAACCTTTCATTTTAGTTTCTGTTAGGACCGTAAACTAGCGACGGGCGGCATGCATTTGTGTTTATGTAGGAAGCAATTTATTTTATTTTACTTCAGGTGTGTCTGCGTGTGAGGCTGATAAAACATAATTAATTAGGCATTTCTTACTCTTTTAAGTTCGTCTTCATCAATCTACACATTTTATTAATTAGGCAATAAAACTGGTAGAGTAAAATGGGGTAATATGGCAACATAAATTTCTTACGTTCACATTCTAACAAGCAACTGACTCAGCTGCAAGGCAACGGTGGCATCTTAGAGCGTGTATGTATGGGTATGTGACGTGAAACGCTCGTTGCCATATTCCCTCATAAAGAAAGATTAGAAACAAAAATGTTGAATGATGCGCTTTGGCCATATTACCCCAACCCATGGGTAATATGGCATCATGCGTTGGGGAATATGGCAACGTGCTTTTCTCCCAAGACATGCAAAAATTTGTGAAATTAGAAAAATTATTTATTTTTCACAACATAAGAAAAATATTAATACAACGAACGAAATAGGCTAATAAAAGCTATATCTCCAGAGCTCTAGAGGTACTTGCTAGTTGATTTAGTGGGACACAATCTGCACAATATTTGTCTGAAGGAGTACATATCTCGTGAACCCAATTATAGCATTTCAAACATTGTAGCCAATCACATTTGGGACCTTTTTTGTCAAAATAGTATCCATCGCATTGGGCACAAAATTCTGATTCATCATGTTCCAATTCTGAATCTCCGCTTTCTACTGTAGTCACTTCCAATTCACTTTCTGACGAACTGGTATCATCAGTAATCCTTGCATTACTTTTTTTTTCACACTTAATGTCTTCTGTGTACCTTTCATCCCTTTAGCGGCTTCTTTTATTTCCTTTTCTTGTTTGCGTTTTAGTTTTGTAGTTTCCTTTTTGTCTTTTTTTTCTTTTTTGTTTCGTTTTTCTGCGATTATTTCTGGAGATGTAAGTAGTTCAGCATGTTGTTTTCTTTTCTGACACCCACTTGGCCCAGGCATGACTGGAATAGGCGTAATCGCTTCAAATGATGGATTGTTAGTCTTGGAGATTACTGCAACATCATCAATAATATTGACGCCGTTGTTAGGATCATCAGTGTTATTATTGTCGGCATCATTAGCGTTTTCTTCTAAATTATCGTTATTGGGAATTGGATCAGGATTTTGCTGAATAAAAGCATGATCTGGAATTATTGTACCATTAAACGGATAGATACCACATGCTCTGAAACCCGAAACTCCGTTTTGAACTGTCGCTGCCTTTCCCTATGCGATATTTAAGAGTGCCGGAAACTGTAGTCTAGTTAATTTGCGACCTGGATGATTATGTATCCAGGTGTTACATGCTTGTGCCCAATATGTCTTTAGAGGCTTGAAAAAGGACCTATCTAGAGGCTGCAACCAATGGGTCGTATGGCTTGGTAAACACAATATTAACACATCGTTACTTGCAGCTAAATCTAACAACTCTACATCCGAACAATGCGAGGAGTGGCCATCTAGAATGAGAAGTACTTTACCTGGCTCCTTTCTTGCAATAAAGTGGTCTTGAAGCCATGTTTTAAAAATGTCTGTCGTTACATAGGCCGACTTTTCATTCATGATAACTTTACCGCCAGGAGGCAAGCCATCCTCAAATTCCTGTTTTTTCTTCTTACCTTTAAAAATACAAACGGGAGGAAGGAAATGACCTTCTGCATTCACACAGGCTATTACTGATACTGTCTCACCTTTCTCAGAACTCGTGACACAGTTTACAGTTTTGATGCCCTTAGTGACAACAACTTTACCTGGGTTATTGTTTAGTTGCAGCCCAGACACATCAATATTAAATATTTTTCTCGGAGTGCTTATTAAATCATTTTCTATTAATACTTTTCCCAAAAGATCAAAGTATCGTCCGCATTCCTCTTTATTCATGCCTTGAGCTCGAGCTATAGACATTCCTTGAGCTTTTCCGATTGACAATTCTTGATGTCTCTGCATGCATGAAACAAACCAGTCATGGCCAGCTTGCTTTTTATCAATATTAAAGTTGTTGGGAATATTATTTTGAACTGCAAATGAAAATGCAAGCTTCTTCACATCAATCGATGTTAGTGCCAACCCATGTTTTTCCATGTTTTGAACATAGTTTACTAAACTCGCTTCATGAACTGTAGTTAAACAACATCCTCCTCATTAAAGTACGGGCAGGAACATTGTATACACGACTAATTTGGCGAACTGATCCTCTACCATTTCTAAGGTCCTCAATAGCATTGCGAAGATCTTCTTCGGACCATAACGCCCTCACATCTTTCCGAACATAAGTTCGAGGCATCTCGATTATTACTGAAATAAAACAAAAAAAAATTGTCAGCCTCCCGGGGTAATATGCCGCAGTTAAAAAATATGACGCGTATTACCCCACATTGTACCTTATTACTTTAAAAATTCGCAACACCCATTTTAGATACGTTTAACGGATTGTTCCGACAAAAAGAGTTATGTTAGGAATTGTATTTTGGCATGCTCTTATTAAAGTTGGGTTACAAACACTTAGAACTGATTTTATCACTACGTATAACTTGAATTAATAATATTCTTTAAACTGTCCTTACCTTTACACTGACGATATTCCCTCAAAAACAAATTAATCTGATTTCTGAAGGATTCAGAAATAATTGCTGCCTTACACTAATGTGTTAAGATGAACACTGTTGTCAAATATAGGCTTAGAAGAAAAATAACAAACTGCGGCGTATTACCCAGCGCGGCAAATTCTTCCACTTTACTCTATTAGAATTTCACTGTGAATGTGTAATAGCAATGTATCACCTCGATGAGCCTAATTTTAAACAACGATCGAAACATCTCAGCAATACCATATCTTTTACTGAACAAAATCATATTTCTTTTAGATTATACACCATCATATTAGGGCCATATCCCACGTCGCTTTATCCACCCCAATAAACAAAAATGGCATAATTTCGACGAATGTCCCAGCTATATTAATACGGACACGTCTTGACTTGAAGTATTTACGGGATTCAAGGTACTTCCATCTCTATGGCCCTAGCTAACTTATTTCAATTCAATAGACTTTATTGCCACAAATACATTGTTGTTAATATGGGTTTTCAAAATTTGGAGAATATTCGAAATTATCAAGATTTTCGAAACAACCAAAATTTCAAAAATTATGTTTTTTAAGTTTTCTGAATTTTCAAGGTTTTGAAAATGGTGGTTTTGAAAATATGCGATGAAAACTGATACAGCCTATTATAAAATGCAAATGTTGAATCCTCCTTTAAACGTTCCGCAAAATAATAGTAATGCGTGTTATAGTTTTTTCCAAATCCAGGGAGAGATTATTCCTCAAACAGCATTCAATCCTCAATTGTGACCCTTAATGGTGGCAACAATACACTTTACCACTGGTCGATCAGAGTTATCCCAAAAACGTAACAGCAATTAAACCCTGATCATCTTTCTCTAATATCGGACTGATTCGTTATTGTGCAAATTAAATTTGATCAAACACAAACTGTGGTAGTACATTCAAACCTAGCGAAACTATTAAGCGTAAATTGTATAACTTAATGGATAAAAAGTATCCATAAATATGTAAGACATTTTATAAACTACGGGCTTCTAATAGTTCCCTAAATGCCTTAAAGTTCTGTGAGATTTTTTAGATATCTATAAAGCAATTTGTAGTAAAAAAAACACAATATTCTATATATATATACTATTAATATTTCTATTCAAATAAGGAAAAGATATATTTCAAAGGCTTACTAAGACCAAATTTGTTACAAAAAAGTGCAGATGCTTCATGTTTCACGTTTGTGCAAAGTAGGCACAAAAAAAGCAATAGATGGAATATTGGACATAATAAGAACTGTCAGCGCATAGACAGCCCTGAAGAACTTAATGCTAGTGTCAATTTGGATCAAATAAACGCTGACATAAAGGCGCTGATTCTCTTGAACACGTGTTTATAGATAGTGAATCTCATTGTTACAGTACGATGTACACGATTTACTATTCTTATAAAATACTAATACAAAAATATTGCAGTACTATAGTTATTAATTTTTTCTGAAATTCCGTCTTTTTCGTTGGTGTTTTTATTAAAATTTTATGTAATATGGATGAATATGCTGTGAATCATCAAACAAGTGAAGACAACAATACGAAATTTAGCATATGATATCTATCGCTGCCTCTAGCAGCCTTAATTCTGATAGCTGTTCATGTTTTCTGGCCGTTAAATAAAACCACATATATAGGCTTGACTTCTTACGGTTTCGGCCACCTCAGTGGTATTTTCCAACGTACATCACAAAAGTGACAGTGACAAAATATTTTGTTGTCACTTGTTTGTACTTTTTCAAAGACCACCGAGGTGGCCGCAACGTTAGTAAAAATTGAAGCTTACGTATGAGGTTTCATTTAACGGTCAGGCATGGATAATTATCAATATGTGTATAAGTGTCAGATTAATGCGATTTCTATTACAGCATTACTATTTTCTCTGTAAATTTTGCCAAATAATTATGAGCCTGTTGATTTTGTCTTGTCCTTCGTTTCTTTTATAGAAAATATTTTACAAGTAAAAATTAACAAGGAATTCTAAAAGAGATGTCTTTGTTTTTGTTTCCCAATATTCTTATACGCCGATTGCCATGATTTTTGCGAATGAGTGCTACTTTTTAGAGTGAAGTATGATTGTGTTAAATGGAGACAAAACAATAAGATATTTTTCCATACTCGTTAGTTCTATGTATTATGAAACTATATGGTGATGCTCGTTGATATTTTTTTATGTGAATCTATATTTATTGTGATTTTTTACAAGGTAGCTATAAGGTTGAAGTACTTATAAACCGTAAGTTGGTTGTCTTTAATCCGTCTGTTTTGATGCAATAAACATAGTCAAGTATACATTCCAGATCGATAATTTTTGGGGCAGCATAATGAAGAGCATCTTTCAACAAAACTAGTACTACCAAAAACTGTACATTGCTTTGACCGTGGTTTAAAAAATCTTGGTCAGTTTTTTGTATGACCGTAGATTATTCTTAGAGTCGATGAATTTTACATATTTTTATGACTATGCAAACGGTACTATGTCAATATATGGGTCCCATTAATTCCCCGAATAATATTTCCAAATTAAACGGATACTACTGTGCACGCAATTTGTGTTATAAGATGCACGTTAGAATATGATAGCTCTTTATTATGCTGTTCAGATGTATATAATTTTAATTTAGTAATGAATTGTAAAATAAATAACTGACAATGTACAAATTGTTTATAATGATGATTGTTAGATTTTAGTGATAAACAGATTTAAGTTAATCAACAACATTCCATTTTGTGAACCTATACCATGTAGTACCTATATTTATGATGTATATTTGGCTTTAGATTGTCAAATATATCGTACAATTTACTATATGTGTTTATTTTCTCATTACGCACACTCAGATCTAAACATTTTGGGGTAACTAATTTTAGGGATCGGAACAAAAACTGATTCCGAAGAAAAGCTGGTGACTGTAAATTGTAAATGGTAGTGCTATATCAAACTACAATATTACTTCTCAGAGAGTCACGCTTATATTTAGCTTAAAAGACCATATAAACTGGTCTGACAATCCGTTTCCATGATACGAAACATTTAAGATTAAAGCCCTGTTCCTACAGCTGCTACCAACCTGTCGGTAATCGAGATCGAGTCCGAGATCCCGCCAAACCAATTCTTTTCATTCTTTTATGCCAGATAGATGTAACTCACGCGACCGGATCCCAGACGCAGTCACCGACAAGTCACTGACCACTGTATGAACAATTTATTTATGTTTAGCAGAAAACTGTATGCCAATGGTCTGCAAAAATAACTCTTCGCCTTCTCTAATTTGGCCAATAAAGCAATATTTCTTTCGAGTTAAACAATCTTATGGTCCTAGTTGCGGTTATATTCACACAGAACACCAGGGTTTTCGTCAAGATGAACTTCATATTACATTATTTTTCGTTATTGAAAAGCATTTTTTAATTTTTTTAATTTGAGCATCATATATACAGTGCTTTTCTTTAATGTCCCCCTCCCCTTTAATTTTTGGACGGATCAATTCAAAAAATTAAAACTTGAGGCATTGAAATTGATGCGCGGATACCATATTTTAGAGAAAAATTGACAGATGAAAATGTCTAGATGACCACTGGGCGCCAACTTGGAAAAAAATTATATGAAAACGGGGGTCTTGTGGCACATCATTTTGAAGCACCTGACGAGTACTTTATAACCCTGGAATATCAAAATCAAGACCTTTATCTACTACAAAATGGTACATTTAATAATTACTAGTTACAAGCATATCCGTACGAAAACAAACATCATTGTACAGTTAAAATATTCTTATTTAATTTTCGGAACTTGTATCTAAATTTACAGCTACAGGTAGTGTAAACAACAAAAAGCCACCAGGTCATCCGACCATCCCGGGAAAAAAGCAAGTTCAAATAATTGGTGAGATCATAGTAAATCCCCAACAGTCTACTTCCCCCATCGCGAATGTATGTGAGGTTCGTCATTCTACTGTATGGAGACTTTTGAAAAAGAATAAGTATCATCCATACAAAATTCAAATGGTACATCAGCTAACTGAAGATGACCCTGATCGAAGAACAGAATCTTGCGAGACTATGACGGAAACCATTGCACGGCGTCCTACCTACCTGTATATCGAAAATATTTGTTTTAGTGATGAATATACATTTTTTCTCAACGGTAATGTGCATAGACAAAATTGTCGTTATTGGAGTGACACCAATTCTCACGTCTTCCGGGAAACTCATACTCAATATCCACAAAAAAATAATGTTTGGGCTGCGATAATGGGAAATCATATTGTGGGGCCTCTATTCATCGAACAAACTTTAACCGGGGAACTGTTTTTGGATATGCTGGAAAATACTATTGACCCTCTAATCACCGAAATCGTCGAAGCGAATCCTAATGAATTCGATACTGATTTTGTATTCCAGCAAGATGGTGCTCCACCACACTACTACAGACAAGATAGGAATTATTTAGATAACAATTTTCCCGGTCGTTGGATTGGCCGTCGAGGTCCTGTAGAATGGCCAGCTCGCTCGCCAGATTTGACACCTTTAGACTTGTTTTATGGGGCTATTTGAAGCAAAAGGTGTACGAAACTGAACCTGCTTTAATACTCGATATACGGCTGAGAATAACAAATATTTGTAGAAATATCGATGTTACTATGTTTGAAAATGTTCGACGCGAAATTACGGATCGGCTGTTATTGGGTCAAGAAGTTCAAGGCAACCATTTCCAGCATCTTCTAAACTGAACTCGTACGTAATTATTCGAATTATCAAGTTGAATGTCAATGTATTCAGGTAATTATTAAATGTACCACAATTTTGTAGTACGTAAAGGTATTGACTTTATATTCTAGGGTTATAAAGTACTCGTCAGGAGCTTCAAAACGATGTGCCACAAGACCCCCGTTTTCATATAATTTTTTTTCAAGATGGCGCCCAACGGCCATCTTGACATTTTCATCTGTCATTATTTTCTTTGGGTCAAGTTTTAATTTCTTGAATTGATCCGTTCAAAAAATCAAAGGGGAGGGGGACATTAAATAAAAGCACTGCATAAGGGATGTTTATAAACGCAAACACCCTAAAATGTTGAAGCCAAAACAAAGCTTATAACAAGGTAATCCCCTATATTTTTCTGCCCAATTGAAACCATATGTGTTGGAAACATCTTTTCTGTAAACGTTTTGGTCACAACGGGAACCTTCTTCAGTACAGTGACTGACAATATAATGTATTTCATTTATCCGGCTTCCAGATGTCACTCTGTCTGTTTCTTCTTTTCATTTTCATATTCATATATATTGTGTTACTACAATAATGTGAAAGGTTCCGTAACATGCTGAGATTGCGCAGAGCTATCATTCAAAATTTAAAGACGACAACACGCAAAGCGAGCATAGCCCAGGACCAGCTGGGTGTAGACATTCTCGCTCCCAAAAAAGGACGTCCCGCTCTCAAACACGCGAAGCGAGTATGAGGTTCTTTATGTTTGTTTTCATGTACAAAATAACAAGAAACTATGGGATATGAAATGTCTGCTATTCTGTCTGCAAAAAATGGAGTGTTTTCTAAGCATTCTATTCCGAAGCTCCGAAAGTAGCGATTCTATAGGCCCCTTCCTTTGAAGATACATACCTTCCAGAGAATACTTCATTATGCAGGTTATTCTATTTAAAAAAGCATGTTTGTGTTGCAACATGGTAATGAATCACCCTATAGAGAGTGACATTTTTTCAAATTTGGAGCGTATAGTTGGCCATAAACTTTCTTAATAATGGAACTCTCGACCAATTACACTAAAAGCTCACAATGTACATTGATTAACGTATTCTACTTGAAGACACTCAACCTAAATACTGAGTTCCTTCTCTTTCAGTGTCGTTGATAGCGTTTTTTTTTTTCAGCCTGGACTGTTTTTTTAAGATTCATCATTCAGTTTCAACAACAGTACAAAAAGATAAGTTGTAGAGAAACGGGGCAAACATTCACTGCCAAGGTTATTCCTGTTTTCACAGACGTCAACTATGGTTCCTATCGAAGAATCTGATGAGTCACTTGCATTTAGATCCATCGGTACTGGATTCTGATCGTTTTTGTTCCGGAGTTTACCTGAGAGAGTACCTTGACTTGCTGGTCCAGTTCAAGTTAATTATGATATTTTCATCAGTGTCACTAGAGTCTAGTTCTCGTCATGATTAATGAATCTAAGCTTAGAACAAACTGGAGTAAGAACGGGTTTGTCACAACTACACATATGTTTCTCCTCTCCACAATAATTAGAAATCTACTTTGAAAAGGTTAGTGTCTCATAGATAGCGTTGTAGCCAAGTATACAGGGTGCCTGTGAAAGGTTGGAAAATCTCGAAACTGGAGATACTACAGACCAAAATATGTGAATTGACCTTAGCCCAAAAGTCAATAGTTTACTAGATACAGGGTGTCAAAGTTAAAATTTTATTTTCTATTTACTTATTCGTTGAGAAGTATTTCCGATTTTGACATACAACTTGGTATATGGAGGTTTTCTAGTATGAGAAACAAGAATCCTTTATTTTTTATGGCCAAACTTCTAGAGGGCGCCACTTACAGCACTATTTCGGTAAATAACTTGACATCACTTTTTTGTGCTACCGTGTATACAAGAACTGGCCGAAAAATATTATTTTCTCGTACTTCCACAACAAAAAAGGTTTACTTATTAGAAGAGTGTAAAGCTAATAGTTTTCGAGATATTCGTTTTTAAAAGTTCCAATGCATTATTTGATTTATTATACTCGTATACCCCTGCTTGCTTTTTTTCGCCTCTGTAGGTAAAAATTTCTTATTTCCTTTCTCCTAAAATATTCCTCCATGTTCTTGAGCTCCTCAATTCTTTCTCTTGTTTTTTCGCCCTTAGTATTCACTTGGTATAGCTTCTTTGCGTTTTATAGGCTTCCATTACTTGCTCTTTGTGTAACTATCGCCTTCGTAGTGTTTTGTTCCTCTTATTCAGTTCTACATCACATTCATGATCCCACCACGTTTTCTTATTATTTTTCGTTTTTTAGGTAGGTACTTCTTTTCCTGTAACTTCCTGTACTATAGATTGTAGCATTCTCTATTCCTGATCTACCGTCATTTGCTTTTCACTTTGTGATAGTATCTGTAGTCCTCCTTCGATTGCGCTAATGTATTTTTCCTGAATCTCTTGATTCTTAAATTGCTGTGGATCCAATGGTCTTTTAATACTTCTCCAACTTTTATTTTTCCTTTGAGATTTCCCCAAGTTAATATCAACCCTTATTAAAACGTGGTCTGGGTCGACATCTGCTCTGCTAGACGTTTTCACATTCTGAATCATTCTACAATGTTGCTTTGTTAGCAAAACGTGATCAATTTGATTTAAGTAATTACCATCAGCCTACAGCCAAGTTCCTTTGTGTATGTTCCTTCTTTTAAAATGGGTACTCAATATTTTCATTTGGTTTTCCTGTGCAAACTCTAGTAATTCTTCTTCAATTATCACTACTATTTTCGTGTTTGCTCTGACCATCGGTGATCTCTTTATAAATTTCTTCAATTCCTATTTTTGCATTCATGTCCCCCATTACCAGTTTCACTCTTCTCTTGTATAACGAGTGATCCATTACCTCAAATTTTTCATAAAAAATAGGTTTTTCTTGATATATTCCCCTGACATTCCAGGTTCCCCACCTCATTATTTAAACTTCCTTGTGACTTTTTAAATAGTTAGTTTTTTGGGAATCCATTCTACTTGCTTGGTTCGTCATCTTTCGATCCACTTGGCTTTTATCACCTAGTTTTTTTCGAGCTGTATTTT